GGCGAGCTGGCTAAGGTGCCAGGCTAGTGATCAAGCGAGCATGAGGTGCGGGATCGAGCCCACCTGTGACTGGGTATTTTTCAGTGTTGTCACACCCCCTAGTGTACAGTACACAACCCCTGTGCACTTAAAAGAACCCAATAATCCATTGGTATATGACCAGATGGTGGTCATGTGAATACGTGCAAACACCTAGTTGCGGGTACAGCAACATGCAGTAAAATTGGACAAAGTACTGTGACTGTGTGTCCCAGTCCACCCAGCTGTGAATGAGTACCTCGTAAGGATGCGCGCCTTGTGGCAGCAGGAGTTGTATGCTCCCCAGGGAGCTGAGATTGATAATAAGATGTGCCGTTGAGATTGACATCCAATGATCAAGGGATAAAATACCAGTGCCTTGAGCATGCACTAGTGCGTGGATATGTGCGCTATATAAATATCCAATAATAATAAATAAAAATAAATAATAACTTGTCGACTCACTTTATAATTTGTCCAGTAAGAAGAGATCAATAATGCTAAACATCTAACAGGGATGGGAAATTTTCTCCCATAGTTGGTCATGTGAAGTTTTCCCTTGACCAGATGATATTCCTCTAACAATAAATATAAAAATCTAAAACAACTCACAAAACTGTAATGGCAGACTGACAAACAGGCTTCCAAGGATTTCTGTCTCTCAATGTTGTAAGTGAATACTGTGAGACTAAAGATCAAGAGAAAGAATCATCATAAAAAGAAGCTACATGGTCACAAGCCAACTCAGCACTTCAGCAAAGTTTTCAGTCTAGCATATTGATTGCATCAGTGCACTTTATGGGGCAATAAACACCTTGCACAAGAGCACTTACATAAGGATATCACTTTCAAATGTTAGCACACTGAATAAGTATGATAATGTCTAAAACATATACATGTACATGGAAACACAAGAGCACAGAGGCAGATTACTTTTTCATTTTTTTCAATCCGTTATTTCAAAGACTTTTTATGGGCTATTCAAAACATTTTTTGGAAACATTTGTTGCTGAGTTTGCAGTATTCATTACATTTTATCTGTTTGTAGACTGGTTTTCTATTTGTCGAGTCTTCAGGTCATGTGAAGCCCTAGATTTTTATAAAATTATGTCTCGCATGTCTCTAACACTCCCTGGATCAGCATCTGTGTTGAAATGAACACTTATATCCAATATAATTCTGTGAAAATAACTTTAAAGTCTAAGTGAAGCCTTCAAAATGATGAATAGATAGCATTTCTAATTTGACAGAAATGTTGTCCGATACAGTTCCTTCTTTTGACTTGCAAAATATCTTCCCATGTTTTTGTTGAGGTGAACAATTGACTAATTACATATGATTGTGACAAGTGCCAGTGTCTGATGGGAGCAGGATATGCCCACCTACTTGTGAACACCTGGTATCCTCACAATATAATGGTGAATGATAGACATTGCTCATGACAAGGTTAGAATGGTACAATCAACTCTGATTTTGGCAGAGATTTTTTGCGAACACCAGGTATTCTCACTTTTTATTCATGATACATTTACAGTGTTCATGATAGGGTCCGAATAGTACAATCAACAATGCACAGATTTCTTTCAGAGTATGGAATGGGTCTTGTTGCTTTAATATCAATGTTGAACCATGTTCAGGTACACCTCAAGGACAAATGGACAAGAAAAAGACATCTACGCAACCGTCATGAGCTGGCCCAACGTAGGGACCTTCCAGCTGACCCGCCCTATCCCTAATGCCAATTCTGTGGTCAGTCTACTGGGCTACTCTGGAACATTCAGCTACACCAAAGCTACAGGTCAAGGCATCAACATCAACATTCCGGCCATTCCTGCAAACGCTATGCCGTGCAAGTGGGCATGGGTGTTCAAGATCACCAATGTTCAAAACTAAGGCATCATGACTGTACACCTCTCAGCTGATACTTGTGTGAATACTACAAACTAAGGCATCATGACTGTACATCTCTCAGCTGATACTTGTGTGAATACTACAAGCTGTTTTTTATACCAACTGTAATGGTGTTCTATCATATTGTGTAAATGAGTGAAGAATGTGTATCTTTCTTGCAATAAACAATATATATAACTTCATATTGGTGATTTTTCTAGTCCTGTTCTTAACTCTGATGTTAGACTATGGATTTCTTTGAGAGGCATTTTAGAAGTTGTGAAGATGAAGGAAACTAAGTTCTATGGATAGTCAACTTCTTTATTGCAATGAGTGCGACGTTTCGGTGTAGGTACTAACACCGTTATCAAGCAAGTGATGAGCGTCAATGATTTCAATGAAGATGTCCAAGAACTTCAGCTTAGTGCCCCAAAACAAAATTGAAATGCCAGCATGTAATCTTGGCTGGGTATTACAGAAAGCTAAAACATTTACCTCAATACTTGGTGATATCCTTTCAATGCCAGTACCTGTCTGATTCTGCAAGGAATCGACATAAGACTCTCTGAGGGAGAGAAGTCGAAAAATGATGGATTCTTATATGTAGCAAATGATAGCCATGACATCATCTAGTTTCCTCAGTCCTTCTGGAGATATATCTGTTCTTACACTGATTACTACAGCCAAATATCTTCAGCTGTTTTCCTTCAGTATTCCCAAAATTTGCCTTCAATGACATGAACCACTCTTAGGTCTGTTTATAGATTTGCATCAGAACAATTAATGACAGTAAACAGTAGAAGCCAAATTCAGTGGCTAGGCAAAATCTGCACCCAGTTTTCCACTTTGGTGCAAGTGATGAGTTCACTGTTGACTGTGTTCCTCACCCCCTCCATACAGTTTTGAAAAACATAATTTTGTTGTATCATTCAACGTTCTCAATGAATTTCCCTAACATAACACACATAACTTACAGTAGCATTTAATTAAATGGATGTATGTTACACCACAGCAGGGGCGGTGGGGTTCTAGGTACAACATGTGAAGCCCATTTCTGGTGTCCCCCTACTGTGATATTGCTGCTAAAAGCGGTGTAAAACCATACTCACACACACGCACACACGCATGCACGCACGCACACACACACACACAAAATCTCACTCACTCACTCACTCACTACATGATGGCATACAGTGTATTGTGAAATGTCATTGATAGCTCCTGTCAATTACAAACACCACAATTTAGGAACCCACAAACCTCAAAGAGACCTGAGTGGCTAAAGGTGTGAGTCCAGCATTTTAAAAACAAATTGTGTTAATGGCCGGTGCTCCTGATAGGGCAGGGCATGTGTAGCTCTTTTCGGGACACCTGCTGTCATCAAAGATTTCCAGTCACCAATTCATACAATATTCACAGCTATTTTGCCCTTTGCACCAAATGAAATCTGTTTCTGAGGAAAGTCAAGACTGAGTATTCCTTGACACTGAAGGGGGCGGTGGGGTAGCCTAGTGGTTAAGGCGTTCACTCATCACGACGAAGACCCAGGTTCGATTCCCCACGTGGGCACAGTGTGTGAAGCCCATTTCTAGTGTCTTCCACCATGATATTGCTGGAATATTGCTAAAAGCGGCATTAAACCAAATTCACCCACTCACTTTGACACTGAAGATGTATGTTTACTATAATTTTAACAGTATTCCAGTCATATCATGGCCAGTCAGCCTAAAGTTGGAACAAAACACACAGTGATACAGATGTTTACAACATGTTGTCAAACTTAGAAGTACAGTGAAGGCAAACTGAATCCCAACCCACATAGGTTTCCTGTGCGCACAAGGGATACAACTCTGCACAGCCAATTGTGCCACCTGTACCCTCACATGGCCGGAGAAAAATCACTGACAGATTGCCACCATTCAAATAGCTGCAAAATTGCTGATGCAGATTTAAGCAAACATTTACTCACTCACACATCTTGCCACTGGGCAATACAACAGACTCAAATGGTGATGAGGACCAGATACTTCCCTACCACTGTTGCAGGAGAGTCAATAATTGTCTCAAGAGTGACATGCCCTTTGAATGCCTCATAGCCTCTTTCTTCTACAGTGTGTTCTGATGGGATTGTTTCTGTTTTTAATTTCAAGACTAAACTCATTCTGCTTACATCACAATCAACTGATTGCCAAATTATATGAATGAAAGAGATTGTAATTGTTTTGTAGTTATAAAAAATCATTCATTATTTTCAGTCATTAAAAAGAAAGAAATGTGGCTTATTGATACGTATAAATGTTGACTTTATTCACTATTTTTCCAGATAATAATAATCATGCCCATTAATCAGATACTACCAGATACCCTTAGATTGTCATTACACATGTATATACAAATTGTCACGGTATATAGCATGGTGTTGACTTATCATGGGGACATGAAACATGTCATCAAGTGATCGCTAATGTACATTTTATAATTTCACATCTGAGTGAGTGAGTGAGTGAGTGAGTGAGGTGTAGATAGTGCAAGGCGATCGTCATGTGAGAGAGAGACTGAGTGAGTGAGTGAGTGAGTGAGTGAGAGAGAGAGAGAGAGAGAGAGTGAGTGAGTGAGTGAGTGAGTGAGTGAGTAGTGAGTGAGTGAGTGAGTGAGTGAGTGAGTGAGTGAGTGAGTGATGGTATTGTGCCACTCTGACTAACATATCAACAGATACCTAGGTATTGTAACATGATCGCAATGATGGGAATCAACCCTTGGCCTCCAGCCAGATGAGCAAACATTTATTCTCTAGATCCACCTTACTGCCCCAGATAAATGTGTATGTGGCATGGCTCAGGTGTCCTTGGATGATGTGAACAAGGAGTTAAATTATATAATGAAGGTCATCCTATATCAAGATGACCATGACATTCTGAAGCCTTGTTTATCATTCCTCTTGGTGTCTTCATTATATTAACACACATGATGTGCAATATCACAGATCACTGGCCTTTGATGGCCCACTTCACCTTGACTGTCCCAAATACTACTTACACAGCTGTAATCAGTAACACTATTATAATATCGGTCATCACTACAGATAACATCACCACATACACTTGCCAGAATATGGCTTCTGTGACAAAGTTAAGTTCATTATTAATACTGTCAGTACTTGCAGTGCTGACAGTAAATGGCCAGTACCAGCCCACATGGGAATCTCTCGATGCCAGACCACTCCCTGCATGGTACGATGATGCCAAGTTTGGTATCTTCATCCACTGGGGAGTGTTCTCAGTACCAAGTATTGGCAATGAGTGGTTTTGGTACCTATGGCAAAAGCAGAAGTTGCCAGAAGTTGTTGACTATATGAAAAATAACTTTCGTCCTGATTGGACATATGCCGACTTTGCGCCAATGTACACTGCTGAATTCTTTGATGCGGATGAATGGGCTAGAATTCTGGAATCTTCTGGCGCCAAGTAAGTGTCAGTACAATTTTAGTTCAAATACATCACAAAGTTAAATCACCAGAATACAGTTATGTAATCATATCAAATTCATGTCTGTTATTAAAGATTGAATGGTTGCTTTGTTGTTTAATGCTGCACTAAGCAATATTCCAGCTATATGGCAGCGGTCTGTAAATAGTCAAGTCTGGACCAGACAATCCAGTGATCAACAGCATGAGCATTGATCTATGTAATTGGGATACAATGACATATGTCTACCATGACAGCAAGTCTGACCACCTGATCCTGTTAGTCGCCTCATACAAAAAGCATGGGTTCCTGAAGACCAATTCTTACTCAGATCTTCACAGGAGAAAAAGTGTCAACTATCCAACAATGAGGCCAAAATCAAATCCTGACTGTTTTTTGCTTGTGTTTGTGATTGGTGGTACTAGTTGGGCATGATATAAACACCATTTAAAGAACACCTGGTGTCATTACTCATTGATTATGAACAATTAACACATGTTCATGATATAATATGAATCATACCATCTATTCTGCTTATAGGTTATTTGCTTATAAAAGGATATATTTATAAAAAAGGTTATATTTGCATCTAGAAAAGGAATATTTGAAGTCATCACGATATGATGTTAAAACTGATCTCAGTTAGTAATATTAAACAAACAGAAAATGATGATGTTGCTTTTACTAAGAATCAAACAATATGTACATTTTTCCGCCTTTGTCCCACCAGGTACATAGTGTTCGTCAGTAAACACTGCGAGGGTTTCTGTCACTGGCCTACAAATGTGTCCTTCAGCTGGAACTCAATGGTTGCTGGACCAAAGAGGAATATTGTTGGTATGTACATTCACAGTTGCATTCAGCTTGGTGCAAGGCAATCTCATCTTATATAATATCTAATATCTGATAAAAATAAATATACTAAATGCCCAAACTGTTGACGTGGGAGGATATACATGGATTGTTATGTTTGTTTGTTGTTTAACAAACCACACTAAGCATCATTTGCACAATGTACATAACTGAACCAGACAATCCAGTGACTGCAATGATCAACCGCTTCTACGCCAACTGATGCTGGCCCCAACATGTATTTAGTAACCTGATATGACCAGCATAACACACTGTTTGCTAGATGATATATTCAAATAATCCAGGCAAGAAAAAACAATTTGGTGTTTGATATTATGAGCAAAGGTCCATATCTTTAAAGTACAATGACATTCAACCAAGTTTGATCACCTGACCCATTAACAGCTGTTACACCTCTCATGATCAAAAAGATTGCTGTAAATGAGGACAGTTGCTTTCCAATGATGGTTGGTTACAGTCATAGCAGGTACAGCATCCAAAAGCAATTACGTTTCATGCACCATGTTCACATCAATTATTACATGGTATGTTGGTTACAGAAGGCAAGATATTGTGTTTCAGTTGCAACCACAATATTTTGCTACTGACAGATTTACTTGAGGCATGTATACAACTCAAAATATAATTTAAGACCAACCAAAGAACAAAGAGTTCCTGTTAAAGTATTTTCCAAAATCAAATATAAGTTGTGGTATTATTTTCACTCTTTTAATTTTTCCTATTTAAAAGGAGAACTGGAGAAATCAATCCGTGGCAAGACCGACTTGAAGTTTGGCTTGTACCATGTGCTGTACGAGTGGTTCCACCCTCTCTATGTACAAGACAAAGCAAACAACTTCACAACTCGGAGATTCGTTGATGTGAGTTGGTAGAATACTCATTTGTGCACCCATAGCTATTGCTATTAGTCAAACATTCTGATCTCATGAATCCAACTGGGCTAGGTTATAAAATACTGAATACCTGACACATTGGTAAGGAGTGTCAATGTCATTTCATAACAGGTGGTTCACTTCCGACACAAGTATTACAGGTATTTGTCTATTTGAGCTTAAAAAGTTAATAACTAATATTATAGTCCGTTTGATTTCATTTGATACTAATGAATTGCTCACTAACACAAAATCTAATAATTGCAACAAAACTATATTTTGCACAATCACATGAAATCCACAGACCAACTCTGATGATTTGTCTCATAATTTTGGGCACGCGAATAAAAAAGTTGTTTAAGAAACGGTAATTATTTTGTGAAAATAGCGAAAAGTGACAACAAAATAATTACCGTTTCTTAAACAACTTTTTTATTCGCGTGTCCAAAATTATGAGACAAATCATCAGAGTTGGTCTGTGGATTTCATGTGACTGTGAAAAATTTGGTTTTGTTGCAATTATTAGATTTTGAGTTAGTGAGCCATTCATCTGTTTCAAATGAAATCAAACGGACTATACATGTTTGTTAAACTGTGGACAGGTGGATGTCACTGATGAGGTTGTTGCATGCCAAACAGAGTTTGTTTACTCTAAATGTATTTCCAATGCTTATGAATTGCTTAGATATTCAGCTTTGAAGTTCAGTCTTATTGAATCAAATAAAAGGAAAGGAACGCCTTCTTATACTTCATTTCTTTAATTTTGAGTTTCATCATCCAGTCAAATAGCCTATAAAACATGGTCAACAGGAATCTGCTGCTATGTAGATGCATCTATATTTGTAGTTCAAGATCACCCCTGCCCTGTATGAGCTTGTCAACACCTACAAGCCTGACATTGTGTGGTCTGATGGAGACGAAGAAGCCTCTGCCTCCTACTGGGGCTCCCGCGAGTTCCTGGCTTGGCTCTACAACGACAGGTGAGCTAATGCCATGCTGATTCCAGGTTTCAGATGTTCCCAAGCGACCTAAAATGCAACTCAATCCTTGTGGTGATCTTGCTAGGTGACTTGGTTGACTTTTTGTACCCTGACCACTTGGATTGTTGCTTACAATATCCATCACTGGTTTGTCTGGTCCAGATTCAAACACTTACATGATGCCATCATACAGCTGGAACATTGCTGAGAGAGGCATTAAACAAGAAGCCAACAAAACATAAGCAAAAAGTGACAGTGAATTATTACATGTTACAGAAGATTCATTAGGACCAATTTCACCCTCATATACAGACTTGACCCTATTATGTCTTAAAAGAATAGAAAGTAAAAGAGTGATAAATAAGTGATGCACTTGAAAAAAACTTCATTATTCTGAATCAATAAGTGTTGACTGTTATCTGTTTAGCCCAGTCAAGGATGTTGTGGTGACCAATGACCGGTGGTGCACTGACTGCAAGTGTAATCATGGAGGTGTCTACACATGTGGTGACAGGTACAACCCTGGTAAGTTAATAAATACTGGCTGTGGTGAGTGAATTCAGGTTGTATTATGCCATAGTCATCAATATGCAACCAACAGATACCTAAAAAGGCTATTAAATTCTCATTTAAAGCAATGTAATAATTTTGATCTCTTCCAATGTGTCTTTGTTCCTGAAGGTTCAGTTGTCTGATCTTCCAGGTGTTCTGCAGAAGCACAAGTGGGTGAATGCCATGACAATAGACAAACAGTCGTGGGGGTTCCGACGTAACGCTCCCCTGTCAGACTACCTGACCATAGAGGAGCTCATCGAGACTCTAGCTAAAACAGTCAGGTATATCAATGTATTAAGATCCTCTATGGTTTCAGGCTCATGCTCAGATTTCTCATGAAACAACTAAAAGATGTCAAAGATAATTCTATTTATCACTAAAGCCCAACTTAATAAGTGCAACCAATAAGAATACACAGCATTCATCGCACTATCCACTGAAATGACAATTACGATCAATTATCAACAATATACCATCATACAGCCTGAATTCCTAAATTTCAATCTCTGCCAAACAAACTTAAGCACACACAACACAAGCATGCTCTCCACAGTTGCCCATGTAGGGGTGGAAATCAGAAATCACATGTGCTGATCGGAAAGCTATGTTCATTCAAGATGAGAATTTAGAACCATCAAGGCTGATAGACTGAACAGAAGTTTCACCTGACACAATTTTGGACTACCCCAACTATATTATATGCAGTCAATTAAAGGGGTATGACCATCCCCTGAAACTATTCCTCACCCATGTTTCTATCTTTAGCTGTAATGGCAACCTGCTGATGAACATTGGACCGACTCACTACGGGGTAATCAGCCCCATCTTTGAGGAGAGACTGAGGCAGATGGGGCAGTGGCTCAAGGTCAATGGTGAAGGCATCTACAAAACAAGACCCTGGACCTACCAGAACGAAACAAGTCCTCCGGAATTATGGTAAGTGAAAACTAATGATCACCAGAATCTTCATATGTTTCCGTTTTCGATGTACAGAGCAATTGTTTGCATTCCATATATGGCAAGTGTTCCCTGTTTGGAAGCTGTTCATCTAGAAATTTCAATTATCGATTTCAGGCAAGTCATAATAGTGAGTGAGTGAGTGAGTGTGGTTTTACGCAGCTTTTAGCAATATTCCAGCAATATCATGGCGGGGGACATTGCTTCAGACATTGTACTCATGTGGGGAATCGAACCCTTGACGTGACGAGCGAACGCCTTAACCACTAGGCTACCCCACTGCCCTGCAAGTCATAATAAGTCTTTTATTGCATCAATAGGAAGATAAAGTAAATGCATATGCCCCAATATGTATAATATAGACCAAAATATTGTCGAAAATGTGTGACATTGAGTCTTTAAATCAGATACAATTACATAAAGAATATGTGTCTTTTTGTTATGACATTCTCATCAACATTCCATCACAGCAGCTTGTAAGCAAAAAGTGTGGGTCAGTTTCAGGCATGAAAGCAGCTTAGTAATGATTCCATACTGCTGTCATTTCTGTTTTACCTCTTTTCTTCAAATAAGAGATTGATTGTTCTGTGTGATTTCAAAGCTCTTCCTAATGAGTGGGGCGGTGGGGTAGCCTAGTGGTTAAAGCGTTTGCTCGTCACGCCGAAGACCTGGGTTCGATTCCCCACATGGGTACAATGTGTGAAGCCCATTTCTGGTGTCCCCCGCCGTGATGTTGCTGGAATATTGCTAAAAGCGGCGTAAAACTAAATTCACTCACTCACTCACTCCTAACGAGTGCCCTGGGCATTAAATACAACAAATATAGCACAAGCAGGACATAAGTATAATCATTACCTTTATTACTCAACAATCATGGATACACACATTTATTATGTCAGTGGTTGATGGGTTGTTATGAAACTTTATGGTGATAAATGAACTCAGTTTGTTATATTGGATAATTGTGAGTTGCTGTATCCTCACAGGGGGTTGAAACATTGTAAAGTCCCAAAACATTCAAAGTAAATTTAAACATACCATTATTTCTAACCGTAGAATATGTGTTATTTTAATTTATGGCTAAATTGTCTAACCTTGCTGACAGCTGAAGGGATGGTGTAAATCCAGCTAGGGTCCATGAAGGAACAAATGTACTGTAAGTCCCCATGGTCCCTAGTATGGTGATCTACCTTCAGCCGTTGGCAATCTATAGCCTGTTTTTAGTTTGTATTGTCATGTATAGTTAAAATGTTTTATAGTTCACTACTAGTTTTAAACTGAAATCTGTGATAAACTAGTTATTTTACTGTCCTTCGTTGACAGAGTTTTATAATTTACCTGTATTTATTATGAAATTATAACTTGTTTTAGTCACGATATGGCTGAAATATTAATAATGTGACTTAAAATCTTAACTCACTCACTCACTATATTGGATGATGATCAAGTATTCCATGGCTGATGTTGACATAAGACCTCAGTGATGAGAAATTCAGATCAGACAGTGATATCAATAAGTCATTTTGATTACAAAACTCATTACCAGGAGATCCTCACAGAGCAAAGTGAAACAATTCTTCACAGAAACTGTGACATCAACCATGAATTTTATGAAAATGTTTGAATGTATATTAACATCAACCTTCAGGTATACATCAAAGAAGTCTGACGAAGGTACTGACGTCTATGCCATCATCCTTAGCTGGCCGACTGAAGGTGTCATCACCCTTCGCCGACCATTGCCTGACCCAGCCAAGACCGTAGTCACTCTTTTGGGGTACACTTCTGGATCATTTGAATGGACCAGTGCTGGTCCCACTGGGGGGATTAACATCACTATTCCAGTCATACCTGCCAACAGGATGCCGTGTAAGTGGGCATGGGTGTTCAAGATGAGCAATGTTAAAAACTGAACCAGCCAATGAAATCATCTGTATGATGTAGTAAATATAGTGATGTAATATTTCTTATTCATATGAAATAAATCTTGGCTAAAATGGTTTTGTTCTGTATTATAATGACGTCGCATAACACATTTAACATGTCAGTGGTTGATGGGTGAGTGATTCAGTATTGAGAACAGTATTTCAGTTATTGGTATATCATGTTGTATGAACACCAGGGAGTTGATATTGAAAATACAATGTGACGTTGAGATTTACATCCAGTGATCAAGGGAAATCAAAGCACCTAGCTTTGAGCAGCTGAGCTGGATATTGGAGGTATACAAATATTAGCATGTATGTATGGTGTATATCCTTATTAAGGAATGCCTTACATGTTGCATGTCCCAGACATAACCAACAAACATGAGCACAGTACTGGCAACCTTAGAAGCATGCTGTACTATTGGTTTGACAACTAATAAAACAGAGGAAACTAATGATGGATGCTGCATTTGAGTTGAAACGTGTCTTGACTGGAGCTTTGTTTTTTGAACATCCCATATTTCAATATGAATACAGTGAAGCCCCGTTAGTCCGGACTCCGATAATCTGGATGTCTCGCCTCCCGGACGATTTCAGCTTGTTACCAATCTATGCCTATATAATTTGCCTCGATAATCCGGAAATTTGGTTTCCGGAACCGGACGGTAAGTAGCTGTCACCAATCAGTAAAATAAACAGTAAATTGCTTCACAGTCCGGACGCTGTAAGTCGTGTTCACGAACCGTAACAACACCTCCCGGCGATGTTTACTTAATTAACTGGCCAACTGGGTTCTTGTTTTAATTAGACATTAAAAGCTCCCGACTGAAGATGCTGTACATTTACACTTTGGTTGACACCACAATACAAGGGCGTGGATGACAAGTGAGCTGTTTTGTGATTGGTTAATGTACTTTGACAGACAGATGCGGTCACGTGGACTTAAAGTGATTTTGCTTTACGACAACGCTGCAAGTCACAAGTGTGCTTCGCTAACTTTGCAAAATGTGACCAAATACCACGTCTCATATTCAACCGATGGATGCAGGAATAATTCGGACATTCAAGGCATACTACAATAGATCGCTTGTTAGACATTACCTCACCTGTATATGCATTTCAACTGGAATGTTGCCACATCTGAAACCCTCACACTGATGAACTATGCCTTGAAAGTATCTATCACTATGAGAAAGTGTAGTCCCAAAAGAACATGTCTGTTGCATTTGCCCACTTTTTAAAAGGTTTTGTGTATTCACAGGTTAGGCAATGGAAGCCGTTCCAATTTAAACAGAGGAGTACACAAAATACCTCGGGCCACTTGCACAGAACGATCTACAGTCTATGTTGGAGGATGGGAGTTACGATCCTCATAGTGCTAAGATTGCCCAGACCAAGACTGCTGTTTTTCAGACTTCTATTTAGTGGAAGCCGTGGTGGCTGAGTGGGTTAGAGCTGGTCATCAGATGCCTCAGTCCGAGAGTGTGGGTTCAATACGACTTCACTCCAAAAAGTGCAAGAATCCAATAGAACATATACGTTATATCTTGCAGGTAGCTGGCAGATTATAAACCAAGTGATACTTATCTGTGACTATAACTGTCCAATCATCTCTTGTGCTAATATATTTTCATAATGGGAAATCATGAATAGCCTGACTTAACCAGAATCACAACACAATGTCCTTTAAAAGCCAAAACTCCACCTTGGTTGGATAAACGAGAATCACAGGAATGTAGGAAGGAAAGCAGCTGTTTCAAGAACATTGTATTTCATTGGGGTTGCTGCTTGTTGAGATTAGTTCAGAGGAAGTCATCGATATGGCCTTGTAATCTTACATGCCTGAAATGGACAAAGCCGGTCAGAATTGTTAACCAACTGAATTACCATTGGTCAATCAATATGATGAATGGGAGCATGAGAAAACCATATATCTCTCTCTGCTGATAGCAAATGGAGGTACCATTATCAATCGTGATGAACAATTGCATAAGGAATCCTTTGCTCAGAAGTTTCAAACAGACAATTAATAGCATCTCTGAATTGTTCAGGGTAGACTTAGAGTTGCCCCTTGTAAGTCAGAACCAGGTAAGAGATGAAAAGAATCTTGTCAACACTTAGGCTTCCAAGCATAATGTGGCATGTTTCACCAGTTTTATGATTAGGTTCATTCTTACAAAAACTTACAGAAAGAATATTTTCTCGCAGAAACTGTTTTTAAACACAGGGTTAATGAAGTTGCCAAGACATCTTGCCAAGTCTTAAATCCAGCAAAAGCATTTTATATACTCTTAAACACAGTAGGGGATATTAGGTAAATACTCATCATTTAAGAAACAAAAATATTGCTTCTGATATGAATTTCTACTGATATTCTAAATATTTTCTACATTCCAGGCTTTATTACAACAATTTTATGAACAGATAGTGAGTGAGTGAGTGAGTGAGTGAGCTGAGTTTTACGCCACACTCAGCAATATTCCAGCTATATGGTGGCAGTCTGTAAATAATTGAGTCTGGACCAGACAATCCAGTGGTCAACAGCATGAGCATCAATCTGCACAAGTGGGAACCGATGACATGTGTCAACCAAGTCAGCAAGCCTGACCACCTGATCCCGTTAATCGCCTCTTACGACAAGGGTTACCGAATATCAATATTCAAACCCCGACCTTCACGGATATATAAACAGATAACCTGCAAACCAAGTATTACATATGAGGCCTAAAGTTATCATTAGATGAGACGTCTGAAGCTGTGAAACATGTGACAGCTCTGCACTTTGTCACGACTTCCTGTTTGAATTGTTCCACCTCCTGTATCTACAGGACAAGGTCAACCCACGTCAAGGCCACATCATGCATAGACCACCAAGAAAAAAAATCATGACCCAAATTACACCAACATATCTGTAGCTGATAACATATCAATTATAAATGTTACACAGTTGAAATGGCTACCCTTCTAGCTCATACAGCTTTCCTAGTCATCCTTTTAACTATCCAATCCAGTGCTTTACACAACAAGAAAACTCCAGAAATTCGCTATGAACCCAACTGGGCCTCCTAGATTCCTTCCCACTTCCACCATGGTATGATGAAGCTAAACTTGGAATCTTCATCCACTGGGGAGTGTTCTCAGTACCAAGTTTTGGTTCCAGTGGTTCTGGGATAACTGGCTGGAGAAAAACATAACCGAGTACATAGATTTCATGAAGAACAACTACAGACCAGACTGGACCTATGCCGATTTTGCTAAAGATTTTACAGCTGAATTCTATGATGCCAACACATGGGCGGAACTATTGGCAGATTCTGGAGCTAAGTATGAGATGATTGCTACTATTCCTAAAGAGTAAAACCATGTTAATGGACGTTAGAATTGAAGATGGGAAATTTTCTACGTGTGCAACAATGTTGAGGGCTCAGTAACTTTTTGACCTGTCACACCTGATGACAATGGTCAACATTTTGATGTTAATACACAAAGCTTTTGTTTTTCTTTTAAACAGACTGATTAATTTATGTATGAAACTACAGCCCAGTCTCATCATAAAGCCAGTAACAGGAACAATTACATTTATTGTTAGTAATTGTTAGTAAACTTACCTCTGGATTATGGTTGCCTTATTCTGTGGTTTCCACAGACACATACAGAATGAAGTGAAAATTTTAACACTAAGTCATAGCTAACCCTTGTGGTATGCCCTTCCAACTGACAGAGTTACCTCCCCCTGACCTAGATGTCACTGTATAGTAGTTTGAAAATCCTCACAAATTTTATGAATACAGTTTACAAAACACTTATCTTCTAGAGGAAAGGTGGGGAGGAAGGGCGGGACCTATACCCCATAATCCAGAGGTAAGTTTACTAACAATTACTAACAATAAATGTAATTGTTCCTAATTGAGGCGTAAACATTCCCTCTGGATTATGGTTGCCTGAATCCCACATACGGATGGAGGGCTATCCCTAGAAGAATAGTCCTGAAGCATACCATACCACTAGTGAGTTATTCTCCATGATCAAAATCCTCTAAGGATAACTATGACTTAGTAGTAAATAATTCACTGGTGAAATATAATATTGGATCATTGTCCACTGGACTTCCGTCCAAATATTGAGTAGTCTCTAATTATCAATAACTTCCCCGAATTCTGTCATCTCATGACGTAACTTCCCATTTATGACGTCACTTCCGGTCAATATTCGGTCTATGACGTCACTTCCGGTCTATGATGTCACTTCGATCTATGACGTCACTTCCGGTGTATGACGTCACTTCCGGTTTATGACGTCACTTCCGGTTGATTCTCCCAATCCTTAAGATTAATTCCGTAATAATTAGAGACTATTCCCTTTTAATTGTCAACCACCACCTGAGTTCGGTTAGTATCTATAATAGGGATAATCGTAACTGTGACCTACCTGATAATACTTCTGTCTCTATATCTTCTCTCCATCATCGTATAATCCAGGTGTGTAACATGCTTGTCACATGATCCAATCCCTGCTACACCCCCCCCCCCCTTTTAATAGGTACTAGGCGGAGGAAAGGTGTTGTGCAGCTACTAACGGACCCAGGGACTTAAGGCCTTCCATTGAACAGGCTACATCTCTTAAATAAAAATTTATAAATGTGTTTGAGGACTTCCATTGACAACTAGCCACCACTCCGCTCAACTGAAACTGAACCCCATGCCGCTACTGATGATGCTAATGCCCTAATCTCATGTGGCGAGAATCTAACATTAACTGATTCTTGATCCAAGTCTCCGTAGCATAGGCGTCATTGTCTTCCTGAGCCATGAAGAAATTGTATTCTTAGATATGTCCATTATTAACATTTGTTTTACAGGAGAGAAGATGATCTAACGATTCCGTCTAAAACTAGATGTGCGTGTATATACCATCTGAGAGCTCGGATCGGACAAAGCAGTCTTGATCTGTCAGATCTAGAGGCAGGGCAGGCAGAGCTGGTATTCTGTAGACTCTGTGT